ATTTTAATTCTAGTGTAGTTGATATACAGTGTAATGTTAATTTTAGGTGTGCAATACAGTGATTCAACACTTCCATACATTACCCTGTGCTCATCACAAGTGCCCTCCTTAATCCCCATCACCTATTTCACCCATCCCCCACCTACCTCCCCTCTGGTAACCATCAGTTTGTTCTCTACAGTTAAAGAGTCTGTTTCTTGGTTTGCCTCTCTCTCTCTCTTTTTATCCCCTTGCTCATTTGTTTATTCTTGTACCTCTTCGGTGATAATTAGCCCAGAAAATAATCTAGGAAGATCTGTATTCTTCTTAATATGCTCCCCTTTTTGTTCTTTAGCTAGAGTTCTCTTCTCCATGTGGGTCTGTGCTTCATTAAGAATTTATTAGAATTCTAAAGGGATCACAGAGCCTGCGGTTTATGTAGTTTTGAAGTGGCAATGGCATCAAATTACTGGCTATATGAATGGCTTAATCAGTCTCTAATTTTTAGAGCTTTGTGTATACATATACCAAAACTAATAAGAACACTTAATTTAAGTGTTTACTATGTGACAGGTACTGTCTAGGTGCTTGCACATGTGAATTAATTTAACCTCTTAACAGCCCAGATGAGGAAACTGAGGAACACAGAAGTTAAACAATGGCCTGAGGGCACCAACCTAGTAGTGGAGGAGTGGAACCCAGGGATTCTGGCTCCAGAGCCCATGTTCTTAACCACTATGCTAGAATGGTGCATATCTCCTTTGGGATTTCTGTATCAAGAAAGAATGGGGGAAAATGAGGCAGGGTGGGAAATATAGAGAATACCAAATGCCCATAAACCAGCTTATGAGCTTATTTTTAAAATGGAATGATGAGGTAAAACTGGAATTACGGAAATTCTCAAAAGGTGGTGAGGGAAAGTGGAGAATTACTCTTTCAGAGGACTAAAATACAAATTATTCATTATTTACAGAGTTTACAAATTGGTTCAGCACTCTCTTAGGCCTCAATTGGTATTTTTTTCTCTTCAGTCAATTCTTTCCTTTAATAAAACACAAATTCATGTGAACAATCATAAACTGTTATTATTGACCTGGTGTGAATTTGAACAATCCAGAGATAAAAGCAATTACCTAGGTATATTAAAACTTCATGTATCATATGATCTCACTGATATGAGGAATTCTTAATCTCAGGAAACTGAGGGTTGCTGGAGTGGGGGGGGAGGGATGGGGTGGCTCGGTGATAGACATTGGGGAGGGTATGTGCTATGGTGAGCGCTGTGAATTGTGTAAGACTATTGAATCACAGACTTGTACTTCTGAAACAAATAATACCTTATATGTTAAAAAAAAAAGATAGTAGGAAGGGAAAAATGAAGGGTGGGAAATCGGAGGGGGAGACGAACCATGAGAGACGATGGACTCTGAGAAACAAACTGAGGGTTCTAGAGGGGCGGAGTGTGGGTGGATGGGTTAGCCTGGTGATGGGTATTAAAGAGGTATGAATCATGGAACACTACATCAAAAACTAATGATGTAATGTATGGTGATTAACACGACATAATAAAATAAAACTAAAAACAAAACTTCCTAAAAGCTAACTAACATTCCTGATAGTGTAATGAGTACCACTGCCAATGAGATCAGTTTCTCTATAACATTTTTAAAATTTTTTAACGATTTTATTTGAGAGGGAGAGAACAAGGGCGTGCATACACGCATACACACATACACACATACACACACACACACACACACACACGCATAAGTACACAAGAGAAGGGAGGGGCAGAGGGAGAGGGACAATAGACTCCCTGCTAAGAGGGGAACCCAACATGGGGCTCAATTCCAGGACCCTGGATCATGACCAGAGCCTAAGTTAGATGCTTAACTGACTGAACCACCCAGGAGTCCCTCTCTATAATGTTTTTTTAAAAAACTACTTCTTTTGAGCACAAAAAATATCTTATATTTCATCAATATCAAAGTAGGCTAAAAAGTGACTTATTTGTTTACATGTTACATGGCACTACATTACTAATTAGATGCACACATGAAATCAATAATTTTAATAAATATTAAAAAGTACACAACTTTTTAAAAAGTAGTTTTTATAAAATACTTTGAAGTATTTTTTAAAAAGCAGATTCACAAATACCTTTATATTTTAACTAAAAAGACAGCTCCTAAAATACAGTCATACGTATATAAAGCAATGTTACCTCCAGAATCAAGAGAATCCCCGGATATGACCTTAAGAGTAGTGATATCACTGTCAGAGCTGTCTTGATCATCCTGTTCAGTTTCTCCTAAAAAGAAGTAAATAATACACTAGTATAGTCTTTATTCTAATGCTCTAAAGATCTAGAAAAATAAGTAATTCAACATTAAAATGAAGCTTCTCTAAACATCAGATACAGAATTGCTATTTATTATGCTTACTATTCTGGATCACAAATTTTCATATAAGCTAAAATCGAGCATATTAATGTTCTCTGAGGTACATAATTATATCTCAAATATTCAGAGTAGTATCTACACGATTATATTCTGAAGCTTTACTGTAGAGTCAGAGAGTAAGCAAATGAGCATTAAATAGTGGAAAAATTCTACCTTATGGGAGGAACTACATATAGTCAGTGTGCAAATTCAGACAAGATTAGTATGTGCACACACATGTATTTACATATGTCCATCTGTGTTTCTGAAAGGGGGATGTACACATACACCCATAACAAACATTTCAGTATGCAGGTAACCTTAGATTATGGTGGGTTCTAAAATGGATTAAATTTTACTGTACTATTCACAGACTGATTTTGAAAAAATGATTATTTTAATACCATAGTCATAGGCCAGCATATGCCAGAACCTTTTTTTATTAACTTTGCTTAAAATTATTAACTCAGAAAAAAGATGCTTAAAATGCATATAAAGACTATCATCGCTCACACTATCCTATTTTACCGGCCAATCAGATAAGCATGGATTTTTTTCTTTTTTTGTGAAGAAAAATACACGATTTTCTGCTCTCAAATACTGTCAAAATTGCACCTCATGTTAATGGGGAAAAAAAAGACTTAGAATATTTTAAAAGAAAATACCTCCTTCAGAAAAATTGACCTTCTGTTGGACACCGGTGGCTTCTAGAAAAGAAAAGCAGACATGTCATACATAGTATCAGAAGCTAAAGCTCAGGAATAAACAAGAGCGTATAATTTAGGAAAGTGAACATAGAGACAGACCAACTAAGCTTTTTTTTCTATTAAATCTTAAAAATATATATATTATATCCCTCTAGGTTATTTCAGAAATAAGTCTGATACAAACTAGAATCAGGAAGAGTTTATTTTTCCTTCAGCCGCAGGTCCATTTGTACTCTAAAATGTACCGTTTGCAGAAAACATTAAATTCTCCGTTGACAAATATTCCAGTCCCTATAAAGGTTAACTGTATTCTCGTTCTCCTATTTGCCAGATTCCCTACACTCTCTTAAGAAACCCACCATTCTGGCAGAACTGATGAACCAGTTCTTTTTATTGCACTGATACATCCAAAAAGGAAGAAAGAAAGAGGGAAAGAAACTGTCTAGCTCCAGCAAGTTCATGAACACCACTATTTCTCAGAGCCAGAGAATTTTTATTAAAGGGAGATAAACCCAAATGTGGCATTGCATAATTGGGCTAAAACATTGCTGAATGATCATTTGAGAAGTAGCATGAATCAGACTGCTCACAAAGCTGAAATCTGTTTCTTTTTAGCTTTTCCTTCTAATGATTTTAATCCCTATTTGCTTTTCAAAAGGGAAAACCACTGTGGAAGGCAAGTGCCAACACATTATATGGTGAATTTGGGAATCTTTTCTTCAAATCAGTTTAATTATATTAATATAACACTAGTCAAACTACTCCTACTACAATAGTGGCAAGTGTAAATCAACATGTGAAATATTTTTGCCAGTATTTTTGGTATAAGAAAAAAACTAACCATAACAACACATACTATGTACTCTTAAAAAGCTAGAATCTGGTATATTATATTGCATTTTAATCTAGGATCTTTAGGGAGACTGTCTTTTCAATTTTCTTTTCCAAGCAGAAAAATGGAAAGTCAAACTTGCCTTAGTGCTATTCTCTTAAAATTTTTTCATAAATATTTCCATTCATACAAAAAGATATCATTCCCCTTTTGGAGTTTTCTAAGCATGTAACTATTATTGTACTTGTCTTTTGTACAGCAGTTTACATTCTTTATTCATATAACTAATCTCATAGCACGCAAACAAAAGATGTTTTCATAAGAATCAATGGTTACAGGGTGCCTGGGTGGCTCAGATGGTTAAACGTCTGCCTTCAGCTCAGGTCATGATCCCAGGGTCCTGGGACTGAGCCCCACATGGGGCTCCTGACTCAGCGGGGAGCCTGCTTCTCCCTCTGCCTCTCCCCCTGCTCATGCTCTCTCTCTCTGTATCTCTGTGTGTCAAATGAATAAATAAAATCTTTAAAAAAAAAGCATCAATGGTTACGCCTTAAGTCGTTATCTTAATAATAGTTAAGCCCTTGATATTTGCATGCTGCTAGTTTTCAAAAAAAACCTTCATGTCTGCAATCTGATTCCCATAACGTCGTAAGGAAATACTCTCCTAGGGAAGGCTCATTGATATTAAGTGACTTTTCTAAGGGTGTCTGAACAAATGATGAAAAAAGGACCTGAACACAAGCTCTTTTGATTTCTAGTCTACTACCCATCTACCACTGCATCAGTCTCATTTATAATGGCATAATTACTTTTTTAATTAATTCTTTTTAAAGAGCAGTTTAAATTCACAGCAAAATTGAGGGGAAGGCAAATAGATTTCCTATATGGTCCCTGTCCTACACATGGCATAGCCTCCTCCATTATCAACATCTCCCACCAGTGTTCTATTTGTTGAAAAGTAGTGTCATTGATGGATCTATATTTACACATCACCCAAAGACCCTAATTTACAATTCACTCTTGGTGTTGCATATTCTGTGGGTTTAGACAAATGTATAATGACATGTACCCATCATTATGGTATCATACAGAGTATTTTTATGCCCTAAAAAATCCTCTGTGTTCTATCCTATTCATCCTTCCCCTACCACCACCACCACCACCAAATCCTTGATGACCACTAATCTTTTTACTGTCTTAATAGGTTTGCCTTTTCCAGAATGTCATATAGGTTCCTGCATGTCTTTTCATGGCTTGATAGCTCGTTTCTTTTTAGCACTGAATAATACTCCGTTGTCTGGATGTGCCAGTTTATTTATCCATTCACCTACTGCAAGACATGTTGGTTGCTTCCAAGTTTTGGCAATTATGAATAAAGCTGCTATTAATGTGTGTGCAGGTTTTTTTTTTTGGTAAATGTTAAGTTTTCAACTCCTTTGGGTAAATATCAAGGAGTGTAATTGCTGGATCATATAGTAAGAATGTGGTTAGTTTTGTAAGAAACTATACAACTGTCTTCAAAGTGTACCATTTTACCTGCCCACTAACAATGAATGACTTCCTCTTGCTCCACATTCTTGTTAGCATTTGGTGCTGCCAGTCTTCTGGATTTTGGCTATTCTAATAGGTATGTAGTGGTATCTTTTTAAACTGCATTTCCCTGATGACATTTAATGTAGACCATCTTTTCATATGCTTATTTGCCATCTGTGTATCTGTTGTTGAGGTGTCAATGTTAAGTCTTTGGCTCATTTTTCAATCGGGTTGTTTTCTTATTGTTGAGTTTTAAGAGTTCTTTGTATATTTTGGATAACTGTCTTTTATTAGATGTGTCATTTGCAAGTATTTGCTCTCAGTCTGTGGCTTGTGTTATTCTCTTGTCATTGTCTTTTGCAGAGCAGAAGTTTTTAACTTCAGTGAAGTTCAGCTTACCAATTCTTCCATGGGTTGTGTTTTTGGTTTATATCTAAAGAGGCATCACCACATCCAAAGTCCTCTAGGTTTTCTCCTGGTATCTTCCAGTTGTTTTCTAGTTTTTAAAAAATTTATATTTAAGTCTGTGATACATTTTAATTTTTGCAAAGAGTTTAAGGTCTGTGTCTACATTCATTTTTTTACCTGTAGATCCAGTTGTTCCAGCACTCTTTAATAAAGACTCTCTTTGCCTCTATTCTATTGCCTTCACTCCTCTGTCAAAGATTAGCTGACTAGACGTGGGTCTATTTATGGGTTCTCTATTCTATTGATCTATTTGTCTACTGTTTTACCAATACCACACTGTCTCGATTACTGGAGGTTGAGCCCTCCTACTTCATTCTTTAATACTGTGCTGGCTATTCTGGATCTTTTAACTCTCTACATAAACTTAATCATTTTTTCAATATCCGCAAAATAAGTTGTTGGGATTTTCACTGGGAATGCACTGAATCTATATATTAAGTTGAAAAGAACTGACACCTTGACAACACTGAGTCGTCCTATCCATAAATGTGGAATCTCCCTCCTTTTTTTAAGTAAATTCTTTGATTTTATTCATCAGTTTTGTAGTTTTTCTCATACAGATTTTGTATAAAACTTCTTAGATTTATACCTAAGTATTTCATTTGGGGAAGGGATGCTATTGTAAATTGTATTGTTTTTTATTTCAAATTTCTCTTGTTCATTGCTGGTATGTACAATAGTGATTAGCTTTGGTAAATTAAACTTGCATCTTGTAACCTTGCTATAATTGCTTATTAGTTCCTATTTTTTGTCCATTTTTTTAGATTTCTACACTGATGATCATGTTACCAGTGAACAGTTTTATTTTTTCTTCCCAACCTGTATACCTTTTGTTTCCTTTTGTCTTACGGCATTAGCTAGAACTTCCAGCACAATGTTGATAAGGAATGGTGAGCAGGGCCATCTCTGCCTAAATATGCATTTAGGTTCCTTTATGTCTTTTCATACCTTGATAGCTTATTTTTAGCAGTGATACTAATACAAAAGCTTCCAGTTTCTCACCATTATGAGATTAGCTGTTAAGATTTTTTGTAGTCTTATAAAGTTGAGAAAGATCCCCTCTATTCCTAGTTTACTGATAGAGTATCATGAATGGGTGGTGGATTCTGTCACATGCTTTTTCTGCAACTATCAACATGATCATGTGACTTTTCTATTTTAGTTAGTTGATTTGACAGATTTTCAAATGTTGAACCAGCCTTGCGTACCTGGGTCAAATCCTACTTGGTTCTAGTGTGCCTTTTTTTAAGGTTTAAAAAAAATTTTTAAGTAATCTTTACACCCAATGTGGAGCTCGAATTCACAATCCCTAGATCAAGAGTCCCATGCTCTACTGACTGTGCCAGCCAGGTGCCCCTAAATCTTTTTGTAGTTTGGATTCATTTTGCTGGTATTTTGTGGAAGACTGCTGCATCTATGTTCATGAGATATTGATCTATAGTTTTGTTTTCTTGTATTTGTCTGGTTTTGGTGTTAGGGGAATGCTGGCTTCACAGAATGAGTTGGGAAGTATTTCCTCTGCTTCTATCTATAGTAATTTGTGTCGTTTTTTTCTTAGTTTCTCTTTTTTCTTTTTTCCTTGGTTAGCCTGGCTAAAGGCTTTACCTTTGAAAGATAATTTTGCAAGGTACAGAATTCTAGCTTGGTCATTTTTTTTTTTTTTTTATCTCAACACTTAAAATCACTCACTCCACTCTCTTCTTGCCTGTATGGTTTCTGAAGAAAAGTTGGATGTCATTCTTATCTTTGTTCCTTTATAGGTCAGGTGTTTTCTTCCTCTAGCTTCTTTCAGGTTTTATCTTTGATTTTCTGTAGTTTGAAAATGATAAACACCCATGTGTATTTTTTTTGGCATTTATTCTGCTTGGTGTTCTCTGAGCTTCCTGAATCTGTGATTTGGTGTCTGACATTAACTTGGGGAAATTCTTAATCATTATTGTTTCAAGTATTTCTTCTGTTCCTTTTTTCTTCTTTTGGCACTCTGATTATGTGTGTTACACATTTTATAGCTGTATAGTCCTTGGATGTTTTTTTTTAGTCCTTGTTTCTTCTGCTTTTTGGTTGAGAATTCTAGTTTTTAAAATTAAGTTATAACTGACACATAACATTGTGTAAGTTTGTAAACAACATGCTGACTTGATACATTTATATATTGCATTACCACCACCACAGTGTTAGTTAACACCTCTATCACATCACATTATCATTTGAGAATTCTATCAATACGCCCTCTAGCACAGTCCAATCTAGTATGTCCATCAAAGGCAGGCTTCATTTCTATTAGAGTGTTTGTTTTTGTTTTTATTTTTAATCTCTAGCATTTCTTCCTGATTCTTAGGATTTCTTTATTTCTGTTTACATTGTCCATCTGTTTGTGCATGCTGTCTACTTTATCTGTTAGAATCTCTAGCATATTAATCATAGTTGTTTTAAATTTCTGGTCTTGTAACTCCAACATTCCTGCCATATCTGGTTCTGATGTTGGCTGTCTCTTCAAATTGTTTTTTGCCTTTTGGTATGTCTTTTTCTTTTGAGAGAGAGAGAACAAATGCGTGCACACACACACGTGAGGGGAAGAGGGAGAGAGAGAATCTTAAGCAGGCTCCATGCCCAGTGCAGAGCCTGACATAGGGCTCCTCCATCTCACGACCCTGAGATTATGGACTGAGCTGAAATCAGGAACCCCGCCTTCTGGTATGTCTTGATACCAAATCTTAATCTCAAGATTATGTCCTGATGGCTGAACATGATGTACTGGGTAAAAGAACTGCTGTCAACAGGCCTTTAGTAATGTGGTGATGAGGTCTGGGGAGAGGGAAAGGGCTCCATAGTCCTGTAATTCTTAGTTTTTCAGTGACTTTATGCCTCTGAACTGTGAACTTTGGTTCTCAATGTTTTTCTTTCCTCCTTAGGTGGCACAGGATGTCTAGAGTGGCCCAAAGTAGGGTATTTCCTTCCCCTAGCTTAGCTGGGCTCTGATAATACTCCAGTAGGTCAGGCTCTGGTTAACTAGATTGCCCTGAAGGCAGGCCTTGTTAAGAAGAGAGTGCTCTGACATATTTCAAAATGATTCCTTTCCCCCCTCTGCCTGCCAACGCATGACGGGATTTTTCTCTGATATATACTATGGGGATTTGGTTGAGCTCCTGGAGGTAAATCTCACAGGATAGTGAGGGCCCCATGAGACTGGGTCTCCTTGGCATTTTTCACTCTCAGACTTCTCCACATGGAGCCTCCTGCAATTCATCAGTTACAGCTCAGGTTTTTCTACCCCAGAACTGGTACCTGCAGAAATCTCCACTTTTGAGTCAGCTCTTGAGAAGCCATGATATCCTGTATTTGTCTCTCTACTCTGGGAGGCAGGGGTTTGCCTTGTGTTCTCTCCTTTCTCACAGATCCAAAAAGAGCTTTTGATTTTTCAGTTGTGTTTATTTGTAGTTAGGTTGGTGTGGTGACTTCCAAGCTTCTTACATGTAGAATGGGAGGGAAACCAGAAATGTCAATAATTTTTTGAATAAATTGATGAAGAAAAGACAGAGGGGCTGAACTCTTCTGAGGTTCCAACAAACAACAACTTCTAAGGGTAACTCATTTACAACAGCAGCTTTGCTAAAGGCACATTTATATTAGGGCATTATGTTTTATATAATTTAAAAATTACTTGGTATAGCAAAATTTAAGGCCGAATTGATTTTAGAATCTATATATTCCTTCATTGAACTACCAGTAAAAAAAAAATGAATAGTGTAGTTATCCCTCTCTTTTTGATCCTAATTTATTTCCGCATACTTTTTAAACTCCAGGTCAATTTGTTCAGAGCCAATTCACCTAATAATCAATCCCTCATATAAAGGTTGCCTAAAATTCAGTTTCTTTTGTCTTGTTTATGTATGTATTGTCTAATTAGCCTGGGGGAGAATTTAAGAATTATTTTTTTAATCAACTTATATAAGGGAGCTCCCCATTTATTTTTTATACCATTATTTTTGAAGTATTCACTATTTCATGGATTTTATCTGTTTTTGAACACTTTTAAAGATTTGATTCTAGTCTTTAAGTCCAGCGAGCCTAGAGCCCTCCCCACCCTGATTCCAAATAAAGTGGGTCCAAGAGGAAAAAATAATTATAAAAGCTGTGGCATTTAGTAGCCAAATGGCAATAATTAAAGGAGCTGTGAAGGAGGTACTGCTTTTCCAATAATCTCAACCAATTAGGAAAAGGTACTTTCAGAAGTCCTAGGAACTTGTTTGTTTTAAGAATAGATAACTTACAACCATCTCTCCTGGTGGAAACCAACCACTAATTGTATCACTTTCTTTTGCCTGGTTACAGAGTTTAAGGAAAATACAAAGTTCCAGGTATATCTTTATTATAGAGTCTCTATTCCGAGAGACTTATTGAGCGCTGGTGTGAGAAGTGAAGGATATTCAAGGAAATAAAACTGCTTATTTTGTGCTCTTGTCTGGGGACAAAGATAGGAAGATTTTGTAAATGAGATTCTGGTGCTTTCTCAAAGAGAAGACTAGATAGAATATAGGAGTCATTTTGCCTCCTGTCTTCTTGTGCTGTCCATACAGGCTAATATAGAGTGCTACAATAAATCTACGTCCAGGCAAGTATTTAACTCTCTGAATTTACTCTTAGAACAAACAAATGTCACTTTGAGTAATTTGTGGTCTTTATTCCTGCCACTGGTATAAACCAGGGATTGGTAAACTTTTTCTATACAGGGCCAAATAGTAAATATTTGAGACTTTGCCAGCCACATGAGGTCTCTTTTCTTAGCTCATAGGCTGTATAAAAACAGGATTGCGGGTCAGATTTTACTCAGAGGCCGACTCCCCATATAGACACCTTTAAGAGCGCTACCTGTCAGATAATTCAATGCCAATCATGCTTTTGAGAAGAGTTAGAATGGGGTTGCAGGAAGGAGAGTGTAAAGAATAGTTTGGGGATATCAGTAATACTCAAGCTCCATGAATAGCCACTTTTAATACTCTAAGAAGGTACTAACAATACTATAAAAAAGAATGAGAGGATGCCATTCTCTATTAATCCTGTAGAAATTTTTCTTTAAACAGGAAAGCAGTTTTTAAAAAGTTAGTTCTTATTATAAAGTACTTATAAAAATAATTTCTAAATCTACAATAGGAAGTAAAAGTACTGGATTATTTCAGCTCCAACTTCTCTTCCAATTAAGAGACTGTAACTTAAAAACATTTTTTTTTTAAGTTTTTAAATAGAACACTTGAGAAACTCTGGTGGGTATGAGTACACATGATGAGTTGCATACTGCAAGGAACATTTTCAGTACCCAGACACTAAATCCTGAAGTCTCTAAGAAATCAGCCTGAACTTAAGTGAAAGATGAATTTCAAAGAAGTTGCAACATTAAAAAAAAAAAAAAAGGGAAGCTTCCTTCCTTTTGACTCATCTCTAAATTTAGAAAAATATTGTAACTTAAAACTAAGTCCAACCACGATCAATGTAGGTTCATTCTTGGTATCTCATGTCCTACACCAAGGCAAACACTGGAAAGCATTTAAACCAATTCAACAAACATGGCAAAGGACACTGAACTTACTATGAAAAACATCTAGAATTTACTTTCTAAATCAAGAAAAAATGTGAACGTGTAAGTTGAGATCCCCTTTTCTCTCAGCAGTGTGAATTTAACGAAGTCTAATTAATAAAAATTAAAATGTATTTGTTATTACACATTCATATACAAATTTAAATAACATGACAAAAGACATAATTTCAGATAGAATAAGAACCAGGGCGATTAAGAAAGATCATGGCCATAGGGACAGTGTCCCATAAGCTGAGATAATGAACAAAGTAATATTCTCAAGCCCATGACTAAATGTGTATATTCCTGTATTCTGATAATCAAACCCTCAAGAAGAACCTATAAGAATTAGAGATAAACAAACCTAATTCACTCATTTTAGTATTTCCATTTGTTTTGTATGCCGAATCTGCAAGAGAGATAGCAAGAAAATGATTAGAGCTTAAAAGGAAATGCATCATATGGTTCTTTACCACAAGTTCATCATCAAAACCTTAACAGATCTTTATCATTATAATACTTAAAATAAGTTATCCATCCATCAAAAAAACCCATCCTAATTCTTTCTTAAAGAAAAGGACTGAGGAGTAGAAACCTAATGTGAAGATAAATAAGGTTCTTTTTTAGTTTCCATGAGAAAGCACCCCTAATAAACTGAGAATGAAGCAGGAGTAGACTGCTTGGAATGACTTTACTAGTTTTCTTTTATAGTCATGAAATCAACTTAAGGGCAACATTTTTTAGAGGTTTTAGTCAAAAAGAAATATAAATGAGGCAGAAAAATTTTATAGCCCTGAGCTATTAAAGCCTCAGTCTTGGTTTTTTTAGTAGCATTATGCTGGGAACAATAAAAAGTCCCTGATCCTAGTTTAAAATCATCATGCTAACAAAAAGAATCATAGCAACATATAAGAACAGCCTCTTATAAAGAATGAAGAAGCCCTTTATATATGTATATGGAAAGATGTATTAATATATTAAATAGAAATAAAAACAGACAATAGGAAGGTGCAGAAAAGAGTGTTTATTGGGCTAACATTTGTGTTAAGAAGGGAGGAAAGTATTTATACATGAATTTCCTTGTATCTCCATAAAATATCTCTAAAAAAATATCTAAGAAACTGAAAACATTGGTTGCCTCTGATGAGGAGACTGCGTAAAGGACAGAGAGGGCAGGGAGACTTTTCATTGTATACTTACAATAACTTTTAAATTCTGAACCATATGAATACATGTGCTAACCTATTTAAAAATAAAACTATATTTATAAAACAGTTAAACCAAGAGACAAAACAATCTCTTACCAGATCTTAGGCTTCTTAAAGGGGGTCTACACAGGCTGATTACAGGATCTTCACTCACCACTAATATAGGAAAACATTTAAAAAAATATGAAATGAACAAATAAACAAGTAAACAATAAACAAATAAATTATTGTTGTCTCCAAAACAGAACAGATAGTGAGGGAATGATTTCCATTTCAGTGAAAATGATCAGGCACTATATGAATGGATGTTGACAAAGGGATACCTGCACTGGTAGAAACTTTGAGTAGATGACTTCCCTAAATCTTTCAGCTCTAAGATTTTATGAAATATCTACCTTAGTTGCTAGTACTTCACACATCAGGTATTTAAAACTTAAAGAATTACCTTTAAAAATAAATCTTGTACATGTTCATAATCCTATCATTACAACTTCCTTCTTTTCCTCTTCTGCATTCCCACCCTTTTCAGATTTAGTTAAAACCTAAAGCTCAACTTAATCTATAGACATCAATTACTATTTCAGTCCCATCTTTTAAGAACCATTTCCTGTATGCTCTATGATGTACATAACCTTATATAAGATACTTGAAGTAGAAAGAGTACCAAAGAGAGGTATTAGAGAATAAAATAGCAAGTACCCTTCTTTTGTAGCAATCTTTGTCCCTTGCCTGCTTTTATTCACCACTGCACCCCCGGCATCTAGCATGGGGACTGGCATAAAGTAGGTACTCGATAAATATCTGGAGAATGAATGAATGCTCCAAAGAATCAAATGTTCAGCAGCCAAAGAATCAAATGTTTGTGACAAAATAGTAGGCATTAAAAAATAATTATCTATGATTATTTAGCTAGGAACCACAACTATTAGAACAAAAATATCTATTTAACTACAGGAAAAATAAATGAAATTCTCCTCTAATATAATTTCATATTGTAAATTAGCTTCATGATTTCCAGAAAAGAATGGATCTGATCACAGAACAATAAGTATACATGGACTGAACTGAATGAACAACCCAATGGCTATTTTAATGTGAAAATAATTAAATTCTGGAACTTCGAACAATAAGAAGAGTTCAAACTGTATCCCTCTTCTAAGCTAATCAACGTTTAACATGACTTACAAAAACAGGATGACAAATGATGTAGTTGTCTTTACTAGGTTGTTTTAGAAGGTGGTCCCTTGGTTTAGGTCTTTATTTTTTAAAGATTTATTTATTTATCTGAGAGAGAGAGACCATGCATGCAAGTGAGGGAAGGGACAGAAGAAGAGAAGCTTTAAGCAGACTCCCCACTGAGCAGGGAGCCCTATTTGGGGCTCGATCTTATCACCCAAGAGATCATGACCCAAGGTGAAACCAAGAGTTGGACGCTTGACTGAGCTACCCAGGCGCCCCTCAAAGTATTTTTCTAAGAGAGTTTATAATCTTTTTTTTTTAATTAATTAATTAATTAATTTGACAGTGAGAGAGATAGCGACAGCAGGAACACAAGCAGGGGGAGTGGGAGAGGGAGATGCAGGCTTCCTGCTGAGCACGGAGCCTGACGAGGGGCTCGATCCCAGGACCCTGGGATCATGACCTGAGCCAAAGGCAGACGCTTAAGGACTGAGCCACCCAGGCGCCTCGAAGAGAGTTTATAATCTTAACACAGTAATATAGGCATTAAATATAAAGGGTGTGTTTATCTGGAACTAAACTTGAACTTTATTCTAAATTGAGAACAGAATAAGTCAAATTATAAAGCATAATCTTTTTTTTTTAAGATTTATTTGAGAGTGACAGAGGAAGAGAGAGTGTGTGCGCACGTGCATGCACAGGAGGAGGAGCAGAGGGAGAGAATCTCAAGCAGACTCCGCGTTGAGCAGCGAGCCCAATGTGGGGCTCGATCCCAGGACCCTGAGATCATGACCTGAGCTGAAATCAAGAGTCTGACGCTTAAATGACTGAGACATCCAGGCACCCCAAAGCATAATCTTATCAGAAGCAATGGATAAGGAAACAAGTCAAGATATGAGTTTAAAAAAAGAAGTGTCAGGGATGGTCAGTTTCATAGTTACCATTATTTACGGTTGTGGGACTTTCCTAATATCAAAAAAAGCAAACTGAAAATAAATGGAACTAAAAACTAAAGGATACTAAGCATTAATAACTGAACTAAATCCTTTCCCCTGCTTTTCAAAATAGTTTAAACGGTTTTTAAAACTCAAGTAGACTATCAACGTAGCCTACTTCTATGTTACATTGATACTAAGATACAAATATTTCTACACTTTAACATCTCTGAAATTGGGATGCATCATACCATCTATGGCATATTACAGTTTAATTGGCAGCATTTCTTCTTTCTAGGTGGTACATAAAACAATGATGGTAGATCTTACAACTGATGACATTTTAGATTTGATGAAACACTGACCATATCATGTCATGATTTTACTATCCAGACTACTTAATTCATTTTATTTTATTTTGTTTATTTTTTTTAAGTAGGCACCATGCCCAAAATGGGGCTTGAATTCATGACCCTGAGATCAAGAGTCCCATGCTTTACTGCTGAGCCAGCCAGGTGCCTGCCACTTAATCCATTTTAAACGGAAAGTAGTGTGATATAATCATGCACACCACACTTAACGAACTTCACTGAGTATCTAATTATTACACAGGAGAGTGACAATGAGGTGCTTGGGGAAAATGAAAAGGCTTTGGAGAAGACAAACCTGGGTATGAATTTTGGTTCCATCATATATCATGTAATCGTAGGGAAGAGTCTTAGCTTCTCTGAGCTCCAGTTTCCTCACCTATAAAATGGGTACATCTATCCTGCAGAGTTATGTGAATGAATGACCATACACAAAGTGGCAGGTAATTAGTAGTTACTGAAGTATCCATCCCATCTTTTCTTGACATATGCCTATATGGCTTAATCCAATAAACAATCTACAGAGAACATTCACTGAACCTCTGAGTAAGTTATGATTTGGGACCCTTGATGAACCAAACTATTATGCGTACATAAAAAAAAAGTTGGCAGATAAGGCAAAAAACAAAATCACTTTTCTTACCTGGAGTTTCTTGTGTTCTCTGGATAGTTTTCTTTGGGACTGTTTGGCTTAAAACAGTTTGTGAAGCTGGTTCATCCTCTAAAGAACAGACATGACTTTTGTCAAAATTCAGAATATATGACGTGGGTACAGATTATGCACCTTAACAGCAATATACAAGCAGAAACGCAAGTAATTCATTTCTTTAGAAATGTGTAATTAGATCTACCAAAACTTAGGAATTTGGGTATAACTACTCAAGGCAATATAAAAAATAAACTACTCACCTTTGATGCTTTACAATAAAAGTATATTAATTTAGAAATTTAAAAGATGGGCCAGAGTTTCAGAAATGATGTGGAAGAAAGCAGAAGTGTGAAAAATGTTTAGAACCTTATAGATTTACTAAAATAGAAATCCTTTATATATTAAAAAAAAGTTAGTTTATATAACTGCACTAGGCTCTGTGGCAGAGTCAATACAATGTAACCTATTTATTGCCTACCATGTGCAAAGAGATCTTCAGATATAGAAGGAGATAACTAACTTCACAAAGATGATGGGATCTTTATCTTCAGGAAGTTTCTAATCTTAAAAGAGATAAAACTAAGTGGGCTATCGACAGATGAATGGATAAAGAAGATGTGGTATATATATATACAATGGAATATTATGCAGCCATCAAAAGGAATGAGCTCTTGCCATTTGCAACGACGTGGATGGAACTGGAGGGTATTATGTTGAGCGAAATAAATCAAACAGAGAAAGACATGTATCATATGATCTCACTGATATGAGGAATTCTTAATC